TATTGGAATAAGTAACATCTTTAAGTGGTTGCAAACAAATGCAACAGAGATTTTGCAAATTGAATAATTTCTGAACCTCCTAATTTTGACTCTCCATACACCCGATCCACAAATGTAATAGGAACCTAAAGAATACCAAGTAAGTTAGAGCACTAGAAACATCAAGAGAAAAATTTTAGGAACATTGCTGTATATTTCTTACCTCCCCTATAGTGTAGTTCAGCTGTCTAGCTCTGATAATCATTTCCATTTGGAAAACATATCCCTTAGAAACACAACGAGCTACAAGATTTTCCAGAACAGATTTTTTATAAAGCCTGCAAAATTTTCACCAAAATGAAGATTAGGCAAATGGAAAGTGATTCAGAATGTCTAGTTGCAGCAGTGAATTATTTGAAATTTCAGAACTCACCTGAAACTGCCAGTCAAATCTGATGCTCCGGGACGTAGCAGGAGTTGGGTAAGAAAGTTGGCTCCCCGACTAACAAGTTTCCTTTTAAAGTCCCATCCATACACACCACCATTTCCAATATACCTGGTTCCTGACACTAGGTCATAGTCTCCTTCTTTTTGAAGTTTAATGAACTCAGGAATAAATTTAGGCTGAAAACAATATGAAACATCTTGTGAGCATGACTTGACTAATCAATCAATCAAAATTTGATAGTTACATCTTATAACGTACATGATGAGATAGGTCAGCATCCATGATCACAATAAAATTGCCAGAAGCATGTTTCATTCCATGAATATATGCAGTTCCCAGCCCAAGCTTCTTCTCTCTTGGTCGTAACACCTACAACAAATAATTGCCACAGTTGTCAAGCCCTGACGTAGAGGAGGAATTTATCATAAATCTGTAAGATGCCTACAATTTTATCTTCGCCGTAGATTTTTTGAAGTTGTTTCGCAACATCCAAAGTGCCATCTGGACTTCCATCGTCAATCACAATTATCTCATAATTGAAGCCACTGAAACATAAGATATGTGGTAAGTTGAGTTATTCCTAGCTGGGTTATTCACTTGCATGCATTCATACGCCGTTTACATTATTTCAGCGAAATTTTGCGACAGAGGGTTTAAGAGGGCTACTTGAAATCAGCTAAGGAAAGCAGAAAACAAATACAACTGACTTGGCAGACAGATTCTAACCTAGTTCAACCGGCTTAGCGCGAATGTCATACCTTGTATCCAAATACTGGCAAATGAGCCAAATAATTATGGGGAGATTCTCTCTTTCGTTGTACGTAGGAAGGAGAATTGAGTACTTATCGCCGGTACGGGACTTTTCTTCGTTGTCTCTTGCCATCTTGGCAGATCGCGTCTCTCGTTTCGGGTACATCACAACATACACATAGCAGCCGAAACAGAAGGCCTGCCTCGTGCGGTTCCGAGTCCCCCCCCCCCCCCTCTTTAGCTGCCGAGCATAGGGGAGTCCCTGGTATACCGTCGCTGACGTAGGAGCGTGCTTCAGGCATTCCCTCCCTATTTCTCTATTCGCTCCGCTGCTTCCTCCCAATATGTTCACCATCACACAAAAAAACTTATTACTCCTCAGGCTCAGATCAGACTTCATGATCCGCAAAATCCCAAAATCCATAATGCGCCTGCGGTCTCGAGATTTTCCACCAGCATTTAGCCGTCGTCGTTGGGTGTTCCCTATCTGCTGTTGAGGGAAACTACCAAAATTAACAACGCGGTATAATTCTGCAATTTGTGTGTGTGTGTGTTGTGTTTTTCTGACGAATGGGAATATCCGCCCAGGACCTCTGGCCTTCGGGACGCGGCTCCGTTGTGGCGGCCCCTCCGGCTCAGCCGGGCTCAGCCCTGGCGAGGCGGGGTAACCGCAAAAGGCTCGCGCTTCCCTCCAATTTCGCTCCGCGAAGACGAAAAATATACTCATAGTCGCAGCGTCCCGGGCGGCGCGTGGCGTCCGACAACAACACACGCGGAGTGCCGTCGCGGACGCCGCTCGAGGAGCCAGGGAGCGCCCCGCGTACCGCGCTGCAGTAGCACTCGCCGCTCGAGGTGGGTTATACGGGGGTGGTGGTCATCTGGGGTGGGCGATGTCGATGTGAAAGGGTGGGCAAAGGGTGATTTGGTCATTATTTCATTTATTTTCATTCGTGGGGGGCGACCAGAGACTTGCCACACGTTCTTCCAACACCCCCTCCCCTGTTTTCGCAGGTTGAGGGGGCGCTTCCGGGGAGCCTTCTGGTCGCCCTACAGTGCGTGCGAGCGCCACTACGAAACAGTTCATGACTGAGAATGTGCTCTGCATTTCGATTATGACGGCAAATCTCTATGGCATTTTTGTGGTAAAGGTTCTCCGAAGCATCATTTTTCGAGGGCAGACATAGTCGACCGGGTGCGGCGTTCGGTCTGCGCGTGGAGCCGCAGAAGTCCAGGACCAGCCTGACGTCGAGGACACGCCTGCAGGTCCAGGACCCGCTCCACCCACCCACGCACACCACATCACACGGGACATGTCCGTGCTGGGAGCCACGGGGCTGCTCATGGCAGCCCTGATCCTGGCCGCCATTCAGCACCTGTCAGGTGAGTTAGTACCAGGACGACGACATCGGTGAGGGTGTGCGTGTGTGGAGGGGGGTGGGGAGGGGGGGTCCACGAATCCCTCCCTGAGCCCTGTCCCTGTGGTCCCGCTCCATCCGCGTCCTTCTTCCTTCTGGTTACACTGTACCGGATGCATGCGTGCGGACGGGTTGCATACTCGCACGGGGCAGTAAGGCGCCTTGGTGAGCTACGATGGGCAAGCCCACCAGCACACTCGCATCCGGTACAGTGAAACCAGAAGCAGCCCTAGTGTTTACTGTGGTATATGCAGGTGTGCGGGCGCCTTTGCGCCAAATATCAATGTCCCCGTTTATGCAATCTTTCTGGAGCCCAACGGCACCGAGCGCGCCAGCAAACCCGCTCACACTCAATCCGGCATTATTTGGTTGAGTTCTGCCTACTTCTGCCTCAGCCGTTTCACATTCAACATGGAAGCCAAAGCGCGTGAAAATCAAAACGATTATAGTTGCATGACACCATGGTGACGCATGCCCCGATTCGTCGGATCGCCGTGCCATTTTGCGTTTTGGGTCCTGTGCTCTGTGCATCATGTTGTGAGTCGCAAGTCCTCGTCGTCGTGACTGTATACGCAGCGGGAGGCGGGCGCGGCGGGCCTCGCCGTGAGCACGGAGCGCTGGGCTGGGCGCCTGCGATGCAATCCGGACCAAACGAGGAAATAAACAGGACAAACGGAAGCAGTTGCAGCTTCGATGAAAACGTTTGAAGCGCGCCAGTGTGTTTTGGGATGGTACTTTTGAAGGTCGATTGTGCCTCGTGTCGCCTTACTGTTGCTCGTCTGGGGTGCGATAATGGGTGGTCTGGCCTGGCCTCGGGCCTGGCCTTGCTCCAGACGACGCTGACACAAAACGTTTTTAGGCAGTCCCCAAGACTGCCTCTCCTCACCCTATGGCCAGGGACAATTTTTGTACGTATACGTCTTTTGACTTGATGTGTCTTTGAGCAGATATAAATTAATAATACAAATTTGGATCAAAATTGCCTAGAATACAAAGCATCTGTACCTAGCCTAGGTATACAACTTGCACCCCCCTACATACGAATTTGTATGTTGAAGATCCCTCCCCATTTAGGGTGTAGCACTGGGCCACAGGGCTGCTCCGTTCTGGCTGCTGCCTTTCGGTGTTTTTCTGTACACCCCGCCGACGCGCCGGTGTGACGCGCCGCCCGGCCTGTTGGCGCGTATGCTTGGTTGCATACTCACCAGGCGCCCCCGCCGCACCGCTCACTCACCGCCGTCTTGTCCTGTCTCCAGCGCAGGGGCCCCGGCGCGCCGTCCGCCCGCTGCGTCGCTACAACGTGGTGGTGGCCGAGCCGCAGCCACACTTCAGGAGGCCCGCGCTCCGCAAAGCGTTCAACAGGGCCGCTCAGCAGCAGGCCTACGAGGCCCAGCAGCAACAGCAACAGCAACTCACGTTTCGGACGCAGCAGCCCGAGCCTCCACCCCAGCCCCAGGTGCAGCAGCTGGGGCCGCCATCACGACCGCCACCACCGCCACCGCAGCTGCAGGCGCGGACGTTCGAGGTGCAGCAGCCCGATCTAGAGCCGCCCCGGCAGCAACAGCCACAACAGCCTCAGCGACAACAACAACAGCAGCAGCCTCAGCGACAACAGCAGCCCCAACTGCAGAGGGGCTTATCCTCTATCACGTTCTACGTGTTCACCAGGTGAGCGCGAAAAAGAGTGAAAATATTGGCTTTTTCTCTCGTGTTTTTCAGCAGCATGTGCGGAGCCATGCGTGATGTCGGAGGGGCCGAAGGGTTGGGCCGGGGAGGGGAGAGTGAGGGGTCCTTGGACCACCTCTCATGCACGAACGTCAGTCGCAATGTTGTGCGGCCTCTCCAGAAGTGTGTTCGCGGGAGCGCCTCGCGGGCTCGCGGGCCACGCGGAGCCCTCGTATAGAAATTGGAACGGAAAACAAGTCCGTGTTATTATTTGCTGGGAGAGGAGCCCCCGCGCACCGCACCCCACGCCCCGCGGCTCGACAGACAACTTAGAGAACTCTTCTAGCACAAGAACCGACATCAAACATATGCAAGCGCCAACGCTAAGCAACGCGCTATCAATGCGCACAAGACGTCCTAAATTTTCGGCGCAGTTTAGTTCGGCAAAATTATCTTGGCACTATACTCATTTTTCCGTGTGCAGACATGCCATGCAGCCCCTTCTTGAAAGAATTTTTGAGGGAAAACGACACTATAAAATGTCAAAATTAATTCGATAGTGCTAAAAAAAAAACCGTTAACAATTCTTGTTACCTACACACAATGTTGAGCTAATCCAAGGAGACAACATCACAAATTAACTTGCTCGAAAACCTGTACAGCCAAGAAGTTTGGTTGACCGCCAGAGAACTTTCGAGGCTGTACAACAGGTATCTGGTGCGCTCGGTCACGCCCAGCCTCAGCCCCTCTACGGATAAAAAACGACCCCAACGAGTCCGTTTAAAAATGCCCTACTGAAAAACACAGTACGTGATTCCTCCCTGCAGCGTTGGGAAGTTTTAGTTGTTTAGCATTTCATAACAACCAGCTGATGTTAGGCGTTCGCCAAAAGCCCGCTGTGACCCCACAGGGTCCCCGGGGAGGGGGGATTGCCCGGGGCCTTATCTCTGCAGTGGACTGTGGTCGCGGCCGGCGCGGCGCGCTCCGATGATGCTCGTCGTCACGCCCTCCTTTCCCCCTTCCCCGGGGGACTCGGGTTCTAATACTGGCGACCAGATAAAAAACGTTTTTGTCGGTCTCGTCTGCCCGCGTCTTCACCCTGCCCCAGATGCACGTATTAGCAACACACGCACACTCTCTCTCTCTCTCTCTCTCTCTCACACACACACACACACACACACACACACTGTATCTTTGTATTTCAACGTACCCCCATACTTTTTCTTCATCTTCAGGAACTTCGTGCAGCCGGGCATCCTCCAGGTCGGCGATGATAACAGCCTCCAGGCGTCCGGGTTCAATGCGAGGAGGCCAACCAAAGTGCTGATCCACGGCTTCGGCAGCAATGTCAATAGAACCATGATGACCACCATCAAGGACGGTGAGGAAACGCTGTGGGGTGGGACCCTGAGTTCTGGGGCGATGCGCTTCTCGTCCCCGACCTCTCTTGTAGAGACGTTCATGGTCGGAACTGACAGTTGTTTCGATGTCATGGTAATACGATAGTGGTTTGTTTTCTTTCCCCACTTCCTATGTAGTTATGGTGGCTAAATTCTTATTTTCTGTCGAAGAAATGCGGTGCTTAATTTGAATACCGGGACAAAATTAAGGTATTTGAATAAGATAGACATGAAATTCAATTTTTGAAAACGTGTTAAAATCTTTAGTGTCTTTTAGCCTAGTTATCAAACTTAAGAATGGCAGGAACACTACTCGCAAAACTTTAAAAAACTAGAATCAACCTCACATATCTCTGGTTGATCGCTTTCGTAAATTAACCTTATACACATGAAAGTTCCTGTGTTCCACAATAAGTTCTCCCGAGACGGAGACGGCCCTCGGCCGCTTACTGGGGCAGAAAGAGTGGCGAGGAGACAGTCAGTCGTCAGATTTAGCATAATGAGGAATGCATCCGACACCCCCCTCCTCCTCCTCCTCCTCCTCCTCCTCCTCATGGCACCCATGGCCGCACGCAAAGAAACTTCCCGAGTCGAACCCATGCGGGCCCAGCCCAGTGGCCGGCGGAGTCGCGGTCTAAGACGCGTCGAAAACAAAAGACGGCATGACAGCCGGAGAAAGAAAGGTACAGTATATATGCAAACATACCCGTGACGTCAAGCTGCAGCCTGGAGCTCTCGCGTCGGTGGCGCACTGTACCGAGGGTGACGGTATAAAGACGGATCATGATGGACGTAGGGTTTCCCAAAACTGTGATAACGTTGGCAACCACAACGAGGGCGCCAAAGATGAAAGAACGTTGCGACTGTTGTGATTTTAACGCTCGATACGGAGCTTACGTAAAATCCCGACACATCTTCGTTCTCTGGAAACTCAAGTGTGATAAGGTCTAACAGTTTTAAGTGCAATACCATGTGTATCACTCTGCTTAAAACTGTAGTACCATACATGTATGACACTTTAAGGTGTAGTTCCACACATGTAATCACAATTAAAAGTGCAGTGTGATACGTGTGTCACTACACCTCGAAGTGTTTGGTACTACAGTTTCAAGTGTGATACACATGGTTTTGCACTTAGCTGTTGGACAGTATCACATTAGAGTTTTCAGAGTAGACAAAAATTGATGAATATTTCGCTATCTTAATTTGAAACAGTTGCGGACCAGTCGTGGCATAATACTTCGCTAGTCAATCTATTCTTGATAAGGGACTAAGAGTTGTGTGTGATTTCCCCAAAAAACCACGACGGGTTCTGGCAATTTTTTGCCCAGCAGAATCTTCGCGAAGTTTCATTTTTTCTTGAACTGAGTGGAACGGGTGTGGTGGTGGTGCTGGACGTTGCTAACGATGTTGTGAGTCTCCGATGAGGTTTTTATTGTATTGGTCGGGAACGCGCGTAGCGGAGGCGGAGAGGACTTTTGCTCTCCATGCGGTGTAGCTATATGGAGATTGCCAGTCTACCCATGGAACGTTGATATGGGAAAGGGGAAGAGAGCGAGGCGGGAGACTGCCCCCCCCCCTTTCCTCCTGTCTAATTACCAATCCAAGACAAGATTTGGTGGGCGAGCTGTGGTTGCTTTATTGTAGTCTTTTAATCTACCAGGTAAAAAATACGGAAAACAAAACAAGGTAGAATGTGTCCCGAATCCGACCGAGAAGAAAAGTATTTCACCGTAAAAATATCTTTGTAAATTTACAACTTATTTTTTATTTTCGATTTACAAAACATGTTGTGAATTTTTACGACAGCCTATTTTTGCTCATCAATGAATTCCAAGTCGATACATAGTGTTTGTGATTTTACAATTGCAAAATGTAATTTTACAAAACACACATTATGGGAACTTTTCCTGTAACCCTTACTAGTTTTTCTCAGAGGGTTTGACGGGTTTGACGCTCTTTATACTTTGGTTTGACTGCCAAACGGTAGTAATTTTCCTCGTGTTTAGCTTACCTGTATGCCATGGACGTGAACGTTGTCTCGGTGGACTGGTCCCCGCTGTCGGCCGTGCCCTGGTACCCGACCGCACGCTCCAACGTGGACGTGGTGGGTGTCCAGCTGGCCGCGCTGCTGGACTGGCTCGCGACGCGCGGCGCCCTGCCGGAATCGATGCACCTCGTGGGGCACTCGCTGGGGGCCCACGTCGCCGGTGTGGCGGGCGCCAATATTCGCGCCGGCAAGGTCAACAGGATCTCTGGTAAGTTCGTTATCCTGTACGCTTTAATCTTTCGTGTTTATCCGGCCATTGGGTTCAAACTTCTTATTTTCACGTCCCAGAAGAATGACTACAAGCAACCTCACTGTTAAAAATTTTGTTGTAAATTTACAACAGATTTGATGCAAAGTTTGATAGCAACAAATGTTGTTAAAAACAACACATGTTGTAATCCAACGACGTTCAATAAATTTTCTGTAACAAATTTTTAATCCAAAACAGTGGTTATTTACTTCCGCCTGCACCAAAAATTTGTAATGAAACAAACTTGTTCGTTCTGTAATGATACATCTTGCTACCAAAATTTACAACGGTTTTTTTGTGTTGTTACAGTATGGTGAAAAGGAGGAATCATTGTTATGGACCACTACGGGAAAATAGAAGGAAATTTGCCACGTGCCAATGAAAACGAATGATGTTGTTTTTTAACCAACAAGTCACTACAAAGAGTGTGATTATTTGACAATATTTTTTAACAGTGGCTGTAAGAGTCGGTAGGAGTCCTCCTGTGTCGGGCGTCGGGTTCACTGATAAATAGAGTGTTCAACTGGCGTCAACGTGTTGCACACGTTCAAGTGTTTGACTGGGTATTTAAATACTATTAAGTGTTTAACAGTAAAGTTGAACACTTAAAAGTGTTCAACTTCTGGGTTGGCTATGAAGCTTTAAAAAAATGAAAGTGTTCAAATTTACTGTTGAACACTTCGAAATATTCAAATATCCTGTCAAACATAGTGTTGAGCACGTGCATGTGCACGCCAGTGCAACACTTTATTTATCAGTGAATTCTTGCGATATCGGCAAGCATACACCTTCGAACGCAAGAATGTGTAAAGCAAAATAAATAGTGCAATATTGTTGAGAAATGATACGGGTCCCATCTTCGCCTTGGTCGGGTGGGTCGGGAGAGAGCCTTGCTGTGTCATTCGCACTCGCTTAACAATTATTTTTATCACATGGTCAGTTCAATGCCCGATCAAGTGTCCGCTCATCCATCATACATGGATAGCCTTTACCACTAGCTCAAGGATAGACCGGGGCAGACATATACCGTGAGGGCGCATGGATCAGACCGGGGATCATACGCTTATGTGCGCGTCGGAGCAAAAAGACTCTCCATCCAAGGCCCCTCACTGCAGCGCTGCAGTTTTTGAACCCGAAGCTTGAATATCAGAGGTCCGATTGGCGCACTGTATGCGCCTGGAGAAAGATAAGACTGCAGTAATTAAATGTAACAGCTTAGTTCTTTCATCAGTTTTCGTTCACTGTCATTATTCAATTCATGTGACGTCACATTCGGTATCATCTTAAACTTTTCATATTGATTAAGACATGATGACACATAAGTTTCGACGTGAGTCAGCCCAGGCTTATAACTTGGCATAGTAAGTTCTACAGTTAGATTTTAACGAATGTGACACGCACTCACGTACATCGAAACGAATATGACAATGGTAATGTGACGTCACATAAATTGAATAACAGTGTTTCCAATTTATTTATGGTGAACAAATGTTTTGTTTGTTTGTTTGTTCTTTTTTAAATATTGTGAATACTTTATTTGAATATTTTTATCTTTTCATTTGCTCGACAGGGCTGGACCCCGCTCGGCCTGGGTTCCGCGATGTGGATTTGCAGCGACGCCTGGACTCCGGCGACGCTTTCCTGGTCGACGTCATCCACACGACGGCTGGCTTCCTGGGCCTGGAGGAGCCCGTCGGACACATCGACTTCTACCCAAACGGTGGCACGATGAGCCAGCCAGGGTGCCTGCCTGACCTCGCAGGTAGGATAAAAAGTTGTTTCTTTCATACCGCGCTGCGTGTAGTCTACAACCTGTGCTTCCTCCTAAGTTTTTCATTTGGATGTTCATTAGTTTTAGTATGTGGCAGTGAGTTTCCGTACATGGGCCGACAAGTCCGTCGGATCCATTGTCATATCTACATGCCTGTCTGCCTGCTTGCCTGCCTGCTACCTGTATCTGAAAATCGGCTCTTATTATTAAAAAAAATACAACGACAAAAAACAGCAATCAAGTAGGTTGTTGTGCACTCGTACGCAGCAACAGATTTGTTGGAAACTTTCCACACAGTGTTGGTGCGTCCCATGATAGACACATTTTCTCTGCTGCAAATTGCCCTTAATATTTATAGACTGTCTTTACTGATGGCATTTCTTTAAACCAAAGAAATCATAATCTGAGTGGCCCCCCTGCCTCTACATTTGCAAAGAAATAAATTCTGGACAACAATTTAAAACAAGTTTGGAGTTTTCTTTCTAAAAGTAATCAGTTTCGGTCTCACACTGAACCATTAGACTACACTAACTAGAATATTATACGAACAATTGGTGGCCTCTCCCGAAACAGTTCATAGCCTACGGTTCTTTTCTTTCTAATTTTCAAATTTGTCCAAACTTTTGGGTGAATGACCCAAACTTTTTTCTCGAGCTTGTTAAGTCAGCGTCGTGTTTGGTAGTTATAGTTGAGTGTGGAACAATCCCTGAATTCTGATTGGGGAGAAGCAAGTGTCAGTCACTCGAAGTGTCACATATTCTCATACAGGTGTTCAAAGACCCGATGAGCGCCAAAGCCTTTTTTCCGTCCACAGGACTTCCAAAGCGCATGCGTCGCAAGCCGAGCAGGCCCGCTCGCTTACGTCGTGTGTGTTTTGAATAGGAATGACGTACCAGAGGTTTTTTTGTATCGTGACAGGAGAAGCGAGTTGAACAACGCACGAGCACAGCGAAAAGAAATTGTCGGGAAGCCGTACACATAGTGATCGTCCAAAAAGAACGCCCGCTTTTCTCAAATTCAAGTGCCTGATTGCGTGACCTCGGCGCCTGTGAGACTCAGGATAGGCCACCCCGCAGTACACGCATGTATTGCAAGCACGATGTTGCCTATCTGACAGGCGGTATTAGAGCTCGTAGCTGCTGAATTCACCAGGTTCGTTACGGCGAACTTTTTGAATGACCGGGGCATGAAAACTTACCACTGTTCTTTGTTGTTTTCGTGGATTTTTGGTGTTTATATCTCTTAGGCTAGAGTTACAAAAGTTATAAAAAGGATTAACTTAAATTTAAGAATCAATTTTAGATGTAAGTTGTTCAATTTATACCTTTTGCAACTCTGGAGAGATATTGACACCAAAAATAACCCAAAAAATATTTTGCGAAAATATTTTCCGTGCTGTGTATAGGACCCGCAGTAAAATTTACTAGAGCACCGAAGGCTCATTCTGACACAGATCGTATGCTTGACTCTGTCTTCTCCTATAGGTATATGCAGCCACGAAAAGGCCTTCAGGATCTTCCGGGACTCCATCAGCGACGTGAACTTCTCGGCCGTGGGCTGCGACTCGGCCCGAGACGCTATGCAGGGACGCTGCAGCGGCCGCGTGGGTGCAATGGGCGAGCGATGTGACACCACGTAAGTACTTATACACTAAAGTACAACGAACAACAGTTTAAAACTGTACATCATAAAAATAATTAAAAACTGTGCAATTTTATTGTACATTTTGGGGTGTGAGACACTGGTAGTACAGTTTTCATCTCTACTTTTTAAGTAAATTGGCAAGTTTTACAAAAATAGCAGTAGGATCTCTTTTAAATTGTAGCTGTAGTATAAAAACAAAAATACCATGATCTAGATAATTTAGTTTGAAGGTAACGCCTCGTACTTGGGCAATTCCTGATGTGCAGTGCAGCGTGGTTGGGCGGTGACCTACACTTAAGTCGCCAGGGAGTTATCAGTAAAGTGGAGCGAAGCGCGGCCTGCTGCTTTTGGCAATGCAAAAACAGAGCATACGCATGAAGGGCGAAGCGTTCTTCTTTTAAACGACCAAAAAGCATATGTAGCCAGCGCCGATTGGGGAAAAAACGGTACAATCCTAAATAAATTGGCCGGAGTGACCTGAGTCATCGGTTGATGTAATAGAGGCGCGCGCGCACGTCGGCGAGCAGTTTCTTGCACCTCCCCGCTCGCCGCGTCACTGAACTCTGGAAACTTGAGTGCCGCACGACGGCGTACAGTCTGGCAGTCTCGCTTGCAGTGATTTGTGTAGGATAAAGTGTTGTCATGGAATCGTTTGAGTAGAACATGTTCAACACCGACAATTCCATTACGAAACTGCCTCAGACGAAGCCGGACGAAGCACTGTATGATGTTTGGAATTTCCCCTAAACCCATGCAGCCCCCCATAAAAAATATTAAATGCAAAAAAATTGAGAGGATGATACCTCTGAACTTAGTTAATCTAGATCTCAATAAAACATAAATAAAATGGAAAGGTGGGGTGGGTGGGGTGACCCGCCGTCGTGTAAAAAGTCGCGACTTCCCACCAATGGCTCACTGGGTGCAAGGATGAGTAAGTGAGTGAGTGAGTGAGTGAGTAAAAGGGAGGGGGAGCTAATGGCCCATTGCTGCAAGTGGTACATGTGCTGTTGCTCTGATTCGGGAATGAAGGCTTGGCAAAGAGTGTTGTACAGTAGTCATGTGCACCCCTGCACGAATTCTTTTTTTTATTTTTTCAAAATAAATTGTCTGTTGGTGTTGCCGAGCCCAAACCACCGTACATCCGATCGCATCGCATGTCACTCTTTCCATATGTGGCTCGTTTTCTTTATTTGGGGAGGGACATGAGGGCTCATGACACCTCTAATCAGCATTCTCATATTGTGTGTTTTTTGTATTTTTTCCCTCGCCGCAACAGGCAGCCGGGGATCTACTACGCCGCCACGCGCTAGGACCGGCCCCGGACCGGCCGGCAGGTCGTCCAGGTCGTCCAGTGTAGTGCCCCCGCGCACAGCGCAGTGCGTGGCGGGAGAGTTTGAAATTAGCGTTCTTCTACTCATTACCATAACATCACGAAAAAGGGTCGGAGAGGAGAGAACGAGGAATATGATTCTGCAAAGAATATGGGCAATTTAATGCCGTACGTTGAAGTAGTGGGGTTAGGAAAGAAGGCTTTAAAGTTCTCACCGAATCGTAGACCTTGTTCTTTCCTCTTCCAGAAATTGTTTGGGTCGACCCACTTACATAATGGTTTTGAATAGGGGAACGTTAATGTCAAAGTGTCCCCTCCTCTCGCACGCTGTGCGTCCACATGCGAACGCAAGTTCCACGGATTCCCTGCTGATTCGCACTAAACTGGACGACGTCAAGGACAGTCTGCCTCGGCCACGGCCCATGAGAAGGACAGTCGTGCGAGCTCCACGCATCGGCTCCAAGTCGGCTCCAAGTCGGCTCCACTTTAGCTTCAAGTCGGCTCCAAGACAGCTCGCTTCAGCTCCACGTCTGCTTCGCGTCAGCTCCGTGCCAGCTAACTTTATGCTGTTGCCGCCGCGCCACTCCCCATTTTCGCAGTTAAAAACTGTCATATGTGATGTATACATTTTAAAAGTGTAGAGAGCTACTACCAATGTCAGGTTCACGTATCAGCCGCGTCCTGACGTGTCCTCTCGGTCGAAACATCATCGATAATGGTCACTTTGAGGCATCAATTTCCCGAAGTCCAAAATAACATCCTTTGGCCCGGGCGAAAACGGTCTTTCCAAGCAGGGTATATTTTAGGCGTGGCGCCGGCGCTGGAAACCGCGGACCGGCGGCGCAAGGATGCGCTTCGGTGACATTTTCAGCGCGTCAGTCCCGACTCGCCAGTATCTTCGCAGAAACGTTCGCACGATACGGGCGCTTATTTCCGATCACCGATTATTGATGGGTTAATTATCGACGGATGGGAAGGCGCGGCGTGGTTGCGCGCACCCTTTAGCGATGTGACAGTACAATTACAAACCGAGGAGCCTTCAGCGCTGATATTGTTGAGCACGCGCCCCGCGACCTTGGAGGCGCGAACATCGGCTAGAGTAGTCGCTTGTGCGACTGCATCAGCAACACAAAGTGACCCAGTGCTGATATTGATAGCGAAGGAAAGAAAAACGTGATTGATGGAGATGATCGCCAGCATTGCAATGTAATTGATTTTGGCAAGACTCACGCGCGAGCCCCGCGTGCCACAACACGTGAGGGATTAAGGTTTGAAAATTGAGAATTTCTAGAGTTGAAGAAATGAAATTGAATTCTCAAAATTTTCCTTGATAATTTACATTAATTGAAAAGACGGCGGCTAGCCTTTGGACATGTTATACTGCTCATGTATTTTTTGGCATGAGTTCATTTAATTTGTAAAACAAAAAAGAAAGATACAAAGCAACACAGTGAGCAGAGTAGTCGAAAATGTTTTCGAATTTCTTTAAAGTGCGATAATTCTGCAAACATTGGTGCTGGAGCCTCGGCTGGAGCTGGTTTACTGTGTAAATCGGCAACAGACGCAGTGACCACTTGTAACGCGGTGCGAATCACCGGACGCCCTGGCCCGGCGACGGCGCGGAGTGTGGCACCGGCACGGACGCTGTGGCTTAAATACTTGGTACCATAATTGATCTCTTCCGCAAGTCAAACGACTGCTATTCTTTTTGCGGAAACCAATATAATAGGACGATAACGTTGGGATAGAAACTGCATACTTTTAAAGAAAATTCAAAAGTAACAGCATGCTCTCGGCATCGGCATTTTTCTGCACACTGGAAATGCAAGTGTGCGAATGTCGCTCACCTGCAGGTGAGCGACGTTCCATTCGTACACTTAAGGGGGTAAAGGTGTGAATTTTTCCTAGAAAATTCACACGTTTACCCCCCTAAGTGTACGAATGGAATGTCGCTCACCTACAGGTGAGCGACATTCACACACTTGCATTTCCAGTGCAATTTCGCCGACAGCCACCGAAACATAATAACCAGCCAGCGATCATTGAAATTCGACAAGTTCCATCTTTGTGTTTCCAGTGGAGAAGCAGCGCGGATAAAATTAATATCCACTTACGTTTGAGTCATGCTAGTTGACCTCGTGGTCAGACGACACATGCCGTTCAAGTGGGTAGGTGTAAAGCTACGGCGTGTTAAAAGTACCCGCGCAGGCCGTGAAAAAGTAATGCAGATCCGACCGCCAACCTGTACTAGTTGCTCTGTTTCTTGTTGTTGGTTTTTCTTTGACAAGTCTATAATCTTTTGACGAGTATCTTCTTACTTAATATCTGTCATTACACACTGGTCATTTTCGTCGATTTGACTTGGCCCATTTTTGGCACGTGATTATCATTGACACCTTATTTAAGGATGAACACACCGAGATGGGTTCTCTGTGCGAGATCTATCGTGTGTTTTTATTTCGAGCCGCCTAACCACTCACTGCTGGTCGGCCAGCGGATAATGGCCACGCAGAGTGCACGCCAAAGTGATGTACAAAGTGCTTTCGACTATCATCATATAGCTCAATCCAAGCTCCTGGAAAAAACGAACCGCGTCTACTTCACATTTGCACCAATAATAGGAAGTCGTTGGTGGAGATTTTCTTAAGGTTTCTACATACTCAATCGTTAGATGTAGAAGAGAACCTCGTAGCGAGGGGTCGTCAACATCAACTGGCCGTGTAAGGCGTAATATTGGCAATGTTTGTAATATCGGAGTAATATCGTAATATTTGTAGAAATATCAGTCAGTGTACCGAGGAATAGAGTTGACGACCCCTCGCCTCAGAGGTTTTTTACGAATCACTCACAGAGGGCGTTTAAATGTCGTGTCGCGCACCCCACCAAGATGTTTTTACTGCACCTTCCTAAGTACAATAAAATTAATAACATAAACAGGAAGCACTTTTCTCGGACCTACCTCTCCGTCGCTGCCCATTTGCGCACTCAGACATGATATGTACGCGCGTACGGCGAGAGTACGTCGCGAAGACATTCGACTCGGTACTTCTTTGCCTCTTTTGGCTTTATGGATTGTACAGTGCGACACGTGCACGTGTCGTCACCACAAACACGGGGACACGTCCGGTCCCAAAGCACATCAGTGAAAAATATTTCATCGCAACCACCTTAGTCAATATGAATAGACCATTTTATTCACATTTTCATGACACCTTAAAGAAAGTTCTATCATTACTTAGGCACAATTTGTGCTTTAAAATGCATTAAAAAGTACGTTCAAAACTACGTGTAGCTTGCGCGCAATAAAAAATTTTAACAGCTAGGTAATTTCTGAAAAATACAAACCCTTGTTTGAGTGCAAGGGCGCAAGCGGAAAAAATGCAATAAGATGGATGAACTTGAAAAAGTTATGAGACAATCACTAGGAACCGCCACACCACAGCCATCAGCTATACCATGAAGGAACACTAAAAGTTTGGCACTACCGTAAAGACAATAAACCAGCACTGCAGTGCCTATAAGAGATGCAAAATTTTGCTGACTTTTATGTAGCTATCGTAGAGATACGAAAGATTTGCAGAATTAAAAGTTATTTTGTATATCCAGTGCGCAGTGCGGTTTTGAGGTGCACCCAGCAGGGGATCCGAGGGACAAACCTCGGTTGGCAACGTACCCTGAGGTACTTACCCAGGATAACGTGCCCCGGGTATGATCCCTGAGTATGAGGTACGTTACCGGCCGAGGTACGTACCTCGGTTCTCCTGCAGTCCCCGTCTGGCCCGTCTGAAAGTCAAACCGTGACCCAGCGCCGAGGGGTCCCCTACTAGCTAACTCATAGTACACTTTCCCGCACCGAACTCACGTCGAACTCGCGTCAAACTCGCGTCGCATCGTGAGAACTCGCAAAAAACCGCCAAACATCGCCAGAACGATCAAAAACTTGCGCTTCATTCGCGAAAAATTCCGTGCAACTCTTAAGAAATTGTTCCCAGCACGCGCCTAACTCGCCGACTCGTTATACATTTATTTTGGAAGTGGGGGAGCGGGACCCCTCGCCCAGCGCCGTACAGTCAACACAAACACCGGGATCACGGAGCAGCCGGACAACAAATAACAAATACAAAATGGAGTCACACTGTGATAAATTAATTAAATTTACGACATATTTTGTAATTAATATTTCAAAAATGTGTTGTGAGCTTCGATGAA